ATCCTAAATCCAAAAAGTGTTAACAATAAACTTGGTGCGTTTATTGTGTTACCAATTTGAATTTGTTAAATAAATTAAAATAAAATTTTAGTTTATGTTTGATCTCAATTTTAAACTAAAAGACAATTGTCGTAATAATGATGTGATTTTTCACACAATTATCATAATTAGTTATCATAAATAGTGGACACAATTGGGCGGATATAATATCCAATTGAGTGTAGGAAATGCTTATTGAGATTAATACCATGTGTATAAGTTAGGAAATCATCTGTGAATTCACCGTGTATAATTTGGTGATTCATAGAAATACATGGCATTACAAAAAACTAATCCTCTCTTTGAATAAATTATTGTTCAAAACAACCAAATAATTGTTGAAAAAATAATTTTGCCTTAAAATTGTGATCAAACATAAACTAAAATTTTATTTTAATGTATTTAACAAATTCAAATTGGTAACACAATAAACGCACCAAGTTTATTGTTAACACTTTTTGGATTTAGGATATTAAAATGATTAACATAAAATACAAAATTATCTAGATAACATAGAAAACACAAATAACATAGCTAACATGGTTTATTATAATTTATAAACTTATAATTAAGCAAGATAGTTGTTAAAGTAACGATATTATAATAAAGTCCAAACCTTATCTAGTTGATTGAGACTGTAACGCACAATCATGTTCAGCTATAATTGATGAATGTATAATTTTTTACACAGTATTACACTTTTGTAATATCTTATAACACATTGTAAAACGAAATCAATTAATAAATCACTTATTATTATTGAAAATCAAACCTATTTTAGTGTGTTTTGCAAAATGTCAAGACTTAGAGGCGCCGGGAAGTGGGTGTTGGCCGCCGGTTGGCTCACCGGTTGCACCCATTGGTCAGCCCGCAGTGACTCCTACTTGAGACCACGTGCGGCCCATTTGATTGACAATCACCGGCACAACAACAGCAACAGGGGATCAGTTTCGGTGCCCACCGGTGGCCACAAATGGGTCGACAATTGGGACAAAAGGGAACCGTTTACCGACAACGACAACGACGACAGGGCTCGACCGGTGGCCACGCGACACATCATACTCGTCCGTCACGGCCAGTACCACGAGTCGGGCCCGGAGTATACGCTGACAGCGTTGGGCCGATCGCAGGCTCAGGCGGTCGGCGCGCGGCTCAAGAATCTGGACCTTCCCTACAAGAGTATCGTTCACTCAACGATGACCAGAGCCGTGGAGACCGCCGCCACCATTAGCCAACACTTGCCAACGGTTCCCATCGAGAGCTGTGCGGACATTGAAGAGGGGGCGCCGATACCACCGGAGCCCCCGTTCCCCGACTGGCAGCCATCGGACCGGGAGTTTGCCGAAGACGGCCCCCGAATTGAGGCCGCCTTCCAGAAGCACATCCATAGAGCTGATCCGACGCAAACGGTGGACAGCTATGAGATAATGGTCTGTCACGGGAATGTGATCCGGTATTTCCTGTGCCGCGCCTTACAGTTGCCGCCCGACGGCTATTTGCGGTTTGATGTGAGACATTGCAGTGTGACGTGGCTGGCCGTACACCCCAACGGTCACGTGACCGCCTGTATGGTCGGTGATGTCGGCTTAGGACACAAACCCTAAACTATTACTTAACTTTATTTGATTACTTAATTAACTATTAGTTTTAACTTTAGTTATAAATTGATTTTAAACTTAATATTTGAATCTAATAACTAATTATCCAATTGTAATGTTTGTTTTAATTACAGATTTGATTGATTATGGTGATTGGTTTGTGAATGAATTTTGTTAATTTGTGGTATAGTTTGCAAATGTATTGTGATTTTTAAATGTAATTAAATTTTGTCTGAATTTGAAATGAATAAAAGATATAATTTTGCGAAACAGTAGTTAAACTTATAATACAATTGCAATAATAATATCCGTTAAAAGTAAATCATTTATAATTTACTGAATAAATATCCGATAAATATCTCAATAATTTACAATTGTATGAATAATTGCTGGAAAAAATAAATAAAACAATGAGGGCTAAAATTTATTGGCCACGATTTTCACCCCGATATTAGCTCTAAAATATTTATTGCACACAAAACAAGGTGATAAATTGCCAAATATAATATCTATAAATATTTATCATATAATTTATTTGTTGAACAAAACGGAAATCTCATGAATCGGTTTATAATTGCAATAAATATATAAATTATTTAACGTTATATAACTTATATCTAAATATACATGTCTTTTGGATTTATATTCATGTTTTTTGTTTTTAATTTCAATTATCGTATTATGTATTGAAGGAAAAAGAGTTATAAATATACTAATTATAAAATAATTTATGCCTTAAAACAAACTAGATTTATATTTATTATAATAATAATGATAAATAATTTATATAAAGTAATAATTAAACTTATCGAGAGCGTTAAATATATCATTTGAATTAGATTTTAATCCAATATAAAAATTATATAATGTTAACTTTATTAACTTTACGCACTTTTTAATAACTTATAATATTATTTATACATTTAATTATCCCCTCTCTCTCTCTCTCTCTCTCTCTCTCTCTCTCTC